AACTGAACACGATTTGAGAGCAATCCTGGCATCGGCAACCACACGCGGGTCCTAGGGCTCAACGCCACCGCATGGTAAGTTGAGTACCTAAATAGTGTAAATACCTTCCTGATTTGCTGTATTACGCCCATGGCAGTCAGCATCCGAAAAACGACAGTTTTCTTTTCTCGTATGGCGACAGCTTTTAGGATTTACAAGAGTGGAAAAGTTGCCCCGGCCGCGCCGGGGTAGGCTGAAAGTTACCCCGGCCACGGCCGGGGTGGCCGGGGCAGGTTCTCCACCCATGAATTTAGGTGACACACTAATAAAAAACGAGTCAATTTGTTGTCATTTGTATGGCCAACAGCGCTGAAAGTAAACCAATCAGTGACCCCTGTAGAGAGAGTGTGTGTGTGTGTGTGTGTGTGTGTGTGTGTGTGTGTGTGTGTGTGTGTGTGTGTGTGTGTGTGTGTGTGTGTGTGTGTGTGTGTGTGTGTATGTGCTTTTTAGCACATTGCATAAGTGTCTATTGTGATTACTCGTCCAATGTATTAAACATGTAAGCCTAATTTGCATACCCCAGTCAGGGGCGGATCCAGAAAATCTCCAAGGGAGGGGCCATTAGAAACCAGGAGGCCCCCCCATAATCCCACCTGTTGGAGGCCCCATCTTCCCACTTGTTGGCCCCCCCCCCAAAAAAAAACTGCGTCTATTGAGCTTATCTAGCTGTTCAGGCAACATCTCAACATCTGTGCAGGCTTGGAGGCCCTCTGTGCAGGTTAAGAGGCCCTGTAAAAGTGGTCATCTCTGTGAGTATAAGAGACCTCCAAGTTATGAAAAGCTTTACCAATCTTCTAACAAAGAAGTCTTCTCAGCTAGTCTTCTAAGAAATAACTAAGTGGGTAGGTTAAAAAAAACTCATCGGATTTCGGCCACTTTATTTTCAGGAGGCCCCCTTTTCAGCTTTTTAACTTTTTAACTTTTAATTTTATTTTTGAAAAAAATCGGCCAAGGGGGGGGCCATGGCCCCCATGGCCCCCCCCTTGTATCCGCGCCTGACCCCAGTTGGCATGTCTTTGTCTAAATCGACTCACACAGCATAGCCTGCATGTTTCGGTTATCCCAAGAACCGGTCCCCGGTATCTTACAAAGTATAGACTGCGGCCACAAAATTGGTGATGGCAAAACAGTCATCATTAGATGGCATCACGAGATCACCCAATCACCCGCTCTACCAGAGTGACTCTTCTCTCTCTCTCTCTCTCTCTCTCTCTCTCTCTCTCTCTCTCTCTCTCTCTCTCTCTCTCTCTCTCTCTCTCTCTCTCTCTCTCTCTCTCTCTCTCTCTCTCTCTCTCTCTCTCTCTCTCTCTCTCCCATCCCATCTGTGATGGATTATTGACAGGCGTGGTGCGTGCCAAAATTACGATAATTATTCTAACCATAGGCACTCTTATTCAGTTAGGAGAGAGAAAACCTGCCAAACTCCTTTCCCGCATCAGATTGCAGAATGTCACAATATTGCAACTTTGTTGATTTAATGTAATCACTTCCAATCTAACGAAATCAATTTGAAAGGAAACTGGTAGGAATTCAGCCACAAAGCTTCCTTACTGCCAGGAAAATATCTGTGGAAATCAGCTTTCAACTTTGTTGCTGAATAATATTTCTATTCAAATATGTACGCGTTGTGTCAACAGTTAACCCGGCGGCCGCTGGGCCTCCGCGCCACCCGCCGGCCGCTGGGGGGGGGGGCATAAAGTTGCCCCCCTTTACTTCTGCGACGATATCGTGGCAACGCGAAGAGATAGAAAAGCGAAACTTTGCACACATCTTTCTGAATACCTAGCCGAGGTTGTGTCCAAATTTGGTGTCGATCCCATTTGAAATGACGTCACAGTGACGTCATAAGTGAAATTATAGATTTGCGACTCTCATATTCCTCACGAAACATCACATATATGGCACCGAATATAAAGGGCCGATTATTGGTCAGAAACTAGATGGAAGTGTAGTAAGATGTTTTAGGATGACAGCAGGTGCTGTCTAGTTCATTTACAGTCGAGTTTCATGCTCAGCGTCAACAGAAACGGTCCATATCGGAAAACGACAAAACTTTATGACGTCACTGTGACGTCATCTTAGGTGCTACAACCACCAAACTTTCCTCTAACATTGCCTAGGTATTCATTTGAAGCTATGCCAAGTTTCACGTTCGTAGCTCATCAGGTTTCGGAGATATTTTACAAAACGTAAAGGGGGGGGGCAACTTTATGCCCCCCCCCCCAGCGGCTCGTGGGTTGCCATGCAATTCATTCTTCAAGCGGCAAAGGCTCAATATGCAATGCGGCCTTCAAAGTCATAAACGATGGTCAGCAAAAAAAAAGCTTGTTGCATGTCAAGTAGCATAATCCACCGTTAATCTTTCATGGCTGAACTTGTACTAGTTCAGAACCGGTTTTGGATCATCGCGGGCTTATTTTTAAAGGCATTTGAAGGTTAATCTTGCCATAGCAATCAGTGAAAAATTTCGTTTTCTGTTTATGAATGAGAACGTTTAACCCACGAGCCGCTGGGGGGGGGCATAAAGTTGCCCCCCCTTTACGTTTTGTGAAATATCTCCGAAACCTGATGAGCTACGAACGTGAAACTTGGCATAGCTTCAAATGAATACCTAGGCAATGTTTGAGGAAAGTTTGGTGGTTGTAGCACCTAAGATGACGTCACAGTGACGTCATAAAGTTTTGTCGTTTTCCGATATGGACCGTTTCTGATGACGCTGAGCATGAAACTCGACTGTAAATGAACTAGACAGCACCTGCTGTCATCCTAAAACATCTTACTACACTTCCATCTAGTTTCTGACCAATAATCGGCCCTTTATATTCGGTGCCATATATGTGATGTTTCGTGAGGAATATGAGAGTCGCAAATCTATAATTTCACTTATGACGTCACTGTGACGTCATTTCAAATGTGATCGACACCAAATTTGGACACAACCTCGGCTAGGTATTCAGGAAGATGTGTGCAAAGTTTCGCTTCTCTATCTCGTCGCGTTGCGACGATATCGTCGCAGAAGTAAAGGGGGGCAACTTTATGCCCCCCCCCCCCCCCCCCCCAGCGGCCGGCGGGTGGCGCGGAGGCCCAGCGGCCGCCGGGTTAAATTTAGCAATCGGGATCGTGTTATGTTGTGATCTATCTCATATCTGTGTTAATTTTGATTTGTCGCTCCTCTATTCTATTACCAAAATTAGCTGTGTTTTTGTGTCAAGTTTATTCATTATGTTTTTCAATATCTCCCACTCCCTTCTCTCTCTCTCCCTCCCTCTCCTTTCTCTTTTTGTTTTCTCTCTCTCTCTCTCTCTCTCTCTCTCTCTCTCTCTTTCTTTCTCTCTTTCTCTCTCTCTCCCTCTCTTCCGCTCTCTCTCTTTCTCTCTCTTTCTCTTTCTCCCTCTCTCTCTCCCTCTCTCTCTCTCCTCTCCCTACTCTCTCTCTCTCTCTCTCTCTCTCTCTCTCTCTCTCTCTCTCTCTCTCTCTCTCTCTATCTCACTTTCTCGTCCCCGCTCATAACATAATCTCACATTTTTTTTTGTATTGATCATCCTCTTATATTGTCTTCTTTCCGCAGTACTTCTTCGTGGACCTTCGAACAATCAGCTGGCGGCTGACGTCATATCAGACAGATGACGTCACCGTCCGTGATGTCACACCAGGAAGACGACGTCACCGCTCGTGGAGTGACGTCACACTTCTTCGATGAGCTAGGAAGATCGGTGTCGACCTGCGCTGAGAAGCAACGTAACGTTGATACACTGAAAATAACGTAATGAAAACATAGTCATACATATTTTGAGCGTAAAATAATCATCAATCCAATTAGAGTGTTAAAATAGTTGAGAGTATTTGATCATTTTTATATGCTCGATAAGGCATAGCCGTCTTGGTGCGTTTCTGGTTTATTAAAAAAGTGAATGATTGAGTTTTCTTGTTGACAATTATCATAGCCTCTGCGTATTAAAAATGTTAACTTGAAGTGATGAACTGTATTTAATAAGTCACTTTGTCCTTTTTCTATTCATTCCTGTTACTTTTCGTGTGTTTTATAACTAATCATCTTCCTTTTTCAAATAAACATCAAAATATTTATTAAATATAAATCTTATGCAAAACTCCTGTTACCACTAACGTAGGATTAGACAAAACTGACATGTTTCTCTTGTTTCAGAATGGACGTCCCCAGCTCAACTGACAGCACATTATTGAACCCACTTTCGCAAACTAGCTTGGCATCATCGCTCCATTATCCGCCAGTGGTCTCAGCCAAGCCTAAAAGGAGGAGGCTGTCGAAACATTTTCCTAGTGCTTTTTTTAATACATCCTCCACCGTAGGCGTAATTCAGTTATGCGTTATTAATTATTTTCAGCCATTGACACGGTTGACGTAATTTCAATTACGTGAACCATGTCATTTGTTATGATTTTTCAATCGACAAACCATTTTCCATTGACGTAATTTCAGGCAGCCATCGACACGGTGGTACCTCTCTGCATTTACCTATCAGTGTCCTACCGCCCTCCATCTCCTATAATGTCATAACCTGCCGATAACGACAGCAGCTCGCTACCCGTTTGCCTTCCCAGCCTTGCAGCCACCATACCAGTTCCGTCTCTTTCTCTCGCGGCGAAACGCCACCTGCCAAACACCAACTCAGAGTTACATGGGTGTTGCATTTTGTCACCACGTTAGCGCCATGAAAAGGTCAAATGGCAACGGGTGGGCTGGGTTTCATTTACTGAGTATAAAAGGTGTTGACGAAGTGCAGATGGCACAGTCGACCACCAGGTCGGCGAGCTATTCACTTCTCAGCAGTTTTGAGCTAATCAAGAGTGCTGCAGAGGTGTTGAGTGTGGCTTACCGAAATTTGCGACGCGTTGAGTTTTGTGCAAATAGTTGGACAGCTTTGTCAGACACTGGACAGCTTTGAATAGCTTTCACAAGCGTTGCAGTGCTTTGCGAAGCTCTGAGGAGCTGTGTGGAGATACGCTAAGTGGAAGCGATCTATCAAGATACGGCAAACATGAAGCTCACATTGTTAGTGTCTGCACTCTTCTTATCAGCTGTTCTAGGAGTATCAGCTGACACCAAGAAAACAGCAGCCGCGAGACCAGAATCCTCCAACTCACCCTCGTCTGGAGTATCTTCAGCTGGAGGTGACCGAAAAGGACGGTTTTTCTTCCTCAACAACCTCCTAGCCGGCGGAACGGCCATAGCTAAAGCCGTCCTTGGAACGGAAGAAGAAGAGAAACAGAGTGTCGTTGCTGTACCAGTGGCTCCTCCACCACGGCCGATTATAATCCTGAAATTGAAGGAGAGAGTGCAAAGTTATCCGACAGTTCCAGTGCAGCCTGTGCAGCCTGTGCAGCCAGTTTACCCGCGTCCTGCTCCTGCGTATCCTCCTCCTCCCAAGTACCCTCCTCCTCCTCCTCCTCCTGCATATCCTAAGCCTCATCCTAAACCCGATCCTACTCCTCCTCCCCCTCCTGCACAGCCCTGTCCCATGCCCATGTTCACCTCCGGTTGTCCCGCAGGTCACGTATGCGCTGTGGCAAGTCCTGGAAAGCATCAATGCGTTCCTCAACATGCCGACGGTGGCAACTGCATGACAAGTTTTCAGTGTATGTCTGGCAAGTGCCGGGGAAGCCGTTGTGTCACTGATGAGTGCAGAAGCCCAGGAATGCAGTCAAGTTGCCCCAAAGGACAGGAGTGTGTGGCCACAAGCAGTGGGAACATTTGCATGAAAAAGGGTACGGTGGATGAATGCCCAACGACGATGTCCATGAAGGGTTGTGGAGAGATGGAGTACTGTACTGGAGGTTCGAACGGCAAAGTATGCACCAACAAACGAGGAGTCAACCAAGCGTGCGAACACAGCGTTCAGTGTATCTCCGGATCCTGTAGGCACAGCAAGTGTCGGAACGACGCCTGTCCCATGATCGACACGTCCATCGACTGCATGCCCACGCAGTACTGTACGTCCAGCCCCCAGGGCCACATGTGCGTGTCCAAGAAGGAGAACGGCGCCCGCTGTGCGGTCTCCACGCACTGCCAATCGGGGGTCTGTGAGCATGGAGCATGCGTACAAGACGACTGCTGGAAGCCTTTTACACAGGACCGCTGTCAGACCAGCCACTACTGCAGTCCGGGCACCAAGGGTCACACGTGTGAGATGAAGCGCATGCTGGGCGCCTCGTGTCGTTTCGACGTCCAGTGCAAGTCCCACATGTGCCGCCATCGGATGTGCATGACGGACAAGTGCAGCGTGCCGCTCTCCACCGACCGCTGCGACGTCACCACCGAGTTCTGCCAGGCGGGACCCACGGGCAACATGTGCGTCACCAAGCTGATGGACATGACGTCCTGCAAGGTCAACGTCCAATGCATGTCGGGTCGCTGCGAGAACGGCATGTGCATGCCCAAGACGCCCGGTAAGAAGCCGATAGGAGCGGCGTGTATGATGCACACAGAATGCGAGACGATGTGGTGTGTGGTGGGCAAGTGTTCGGTGACCCAACACTCTGTGGGTGGCCGGTGCCTGGTCAACAGTGACTGCCAGTCCAACATCTGTGGACCCATGATGACGTGTGAGGCACTGACGACGACTACGCCAATGACAACGACGCCAACAACGCCAACAACGACGACAACGCCGACGACGGCTGCCCCAGTGGCAGGATAAGGCGAGTTGAAGAGAAGAAGATAAGTGGAGGGCTCAAAACCGCTCAAAGCTCGTGAAGATTGTCCTATACGGTAGCCGTAACGTAGTTCGTGTCTCGTGGATTCATGCTTCAAAATAGAAAGACAAGTAGTGAAGAGTGTCAGCCTCAGTAGCGACCACTCATCCTATCTTAGGCCATGTTGCTGCATGTCATGTCCTTGTTCAAGGTTTGTTGCTTGCTGTTCGTCCACTGCTTATCTTATTGTTGTCTCATGCTGCTGGTGTCGTTTGTTTGCAATGTTCATCTATAATGCTAGCTTGAACTTGATCGCTCAATTTGCCTTAGAGGTGATTTCAGGAATTAGGGATGAAGGTTAAGAAAAAATCCAAATACCTCTAGATATTTCAATAAGGCTTATATGATGCCAAAGTTATCATTAATGAGCATGCCAATCTGTGCTTACCATTCACATTCCATATTGTCCGCGTGTTTCTCAACCAGTTACCTATTCGTCGCATGATTATTGTGTGTCGTCTTGTTATAAGTGTCGCTCTTTGTTGCTTATAAATGTTTGATGCTGCTTATCAATAAAAAGGTTTGTTTAAATTGTTTTTCTGTTTTATGCTTACTGATATTGATTTCTCAGCAGGCACTTTGATTCTTTTGTATGTAAAACAAAACTTTGCATGAGATTGCAGAGGTCTAAAAAATGATGCTGTATCAATATTCAAGTCCAGCTCACAAAGCGCAGTTTGTTCACGTTAAACATGCAGCGAAGGATTTTTAACTCACGCTCACCAACAATCACACTCATCCAATTCTATGATCTGCCCCACACAAAGGTTGTCTAGAGTTACCCTCACACGTTTGCCTAATTGCCTAGAGCTAGGACATATTGTTGCGAACTTACGCAATATCTAAGAAATATTTTATCGTGTAGTGGCCCCTGATTTAATTCATGCATGTCAAATCGTGCCTTGTATGTGATGTAAAGCTATATGACAAGTAATATTGCCTTTTCGGCATAACATTCGGATTTCTCCTTTACAGGTGGCCCTGCACTGGTAGCGACAGGCTATGCCTCTCCCAACGACAAGTTACATCACATCATGCGCAGCATTACACCTCTGATATGTGCAACGGGCCGGAACATATTGATTGATAAAACTATGCTACCAACGCTAAATTGACCGCTCTCCATAGCGCTTCAATCAGCAATATTCACATAATGTCAAGTGATAGCTTTATCGTCAGGCTTCATTATTTTTAAGAAATGAAGACTTATTTATGCAAAGCTACGCCGGTGCCATCACCAAGCTTTTTAAAAATAATATAACTAATCTACACTGTCATATATTGCGTTTGCACCTATGGTGTCAATTAAATTAATTAGCACCAAGCACCTAACACTCCAAGATTACGACAAAACAACACTGTCACGCCTTGATCACCAATTGGCCGACAAAACGGTACCGTACAACGCCATTGTTCTAAATAAGCCGCATGACTTCAGTCTTCAATAAAGACAAACCGCTATCACTCAGACAAATTATTATTACTACACATGCTACTCACCTTTCTGATTCTGACACCGTATAACTCCTTACATCACTCTGAAGTCACACTTAGCTTCACTCAGCAGAACTTCTTCAACACTTCCCACATGTTCGCGAACCACTACGGCAACAGAAAGCAACAACTCGAACAACAGACGCCTCTTCAACAACAGAAAAGTCTACACTAACGCTGCTTGTTACCTTTCAAGGACTCCTTCGACGACGGCTAAGACTGGAGTCAAGTGGAGCTGAGCGAAGTAGATGACTATTCAAACCTTAGTAAAGTTAGTAGTTGACTCACTAGACTTCGCCTCTTGACTCACTGGACCTCGCCTGTTGACTCCCTGGACCTCCATCGTCGAGTCTCCCCTGAAGACTGCCTCAGATTCCTCTTCAACCAGATACGTAGTCATGTCGCTCCGTTTTCGGCGAACATCAACATGCAGAATAGAGAAACATCAATATTCAGGGCGAAGATCGCCGCGAAATGCATTAAACCATCCGACTTCTGGGCGGCCATTGTGGCGTGGAACGCACTGCCTGTCAGAGGCAATCAATATTCAGATCATGCGTATCAGTGAATTACATTACACTGTCTTCCCGGGATAGTAGACATCATGATAAGACGTTACAGGAGCGCATTAGAGGCAACGCCACGCATCTCACGTCTGACATACATTCCTATTTCTGTGTTGTGCTCTGTGAGGAAACTGGATAATGTACTTCGCCGACCGGAGGAACAACTTAAAAATCCGGAGCAGCGGGACGTCTTATCCGGGGTGGAGAATGTCGTTGAGGGAGGTATATAAAGCAGAGTCGGGGTCAGTATAGCATCAGCGGCCCCACGAGTACCACTCATGGTCTAGTGGTGCTCAGAGCTTGGAGAGGTGCTGCAAGCTCTTCAGCTACTTCCTGCTGGTGGTGGAAGCGGTGGACTTCGTCACCGTCAGCATCTGGTCGATCGACTGGCTTGCCTCATCCGTGGTCCCGGTCGGTGGTGACATTCCGTCCTTATTCCAAGCGCTGATCATCTCCTTGGATTCTAAGCTCTAACACAGAAATTCCTACCATGAAACTTCCCTATCTTATCCTGTTTATCGGGTTAATAGCCTCTGCACAGTGTGCCGCTAAACAAGAAAAGGCCGAAGAAGACTCTACGAAGATAGAGTCCAGCCGACGCGGACGGTTCTTTTTCCTTAATAACCTGTTGTCAGGTCCCGCGGCTTTGGCCAGCGCTGGTGCTAGTAGTGTCGGAAATTCCTTCCTCAGCCTTAGCCGGACCTTGGGTGGGCTTGGCGGAACTACCAACGAAGTAACCAAAACTCCATCAGTCATCTACGTGGCGCGCCCGCGCCCGAGCCTGCGCCAGTGTCCGCTGCCGCTCTTCACCTCCGGGTGTCCTCAGGGACATGTGTGCGCCACTGGATCCCCGGGAGGCACCAGGTGCGTGCCCCAGAGTGCCGACGGCGGCCCGTGCACCACCGGGTTCCAGTGTGTCAGCGGAGTGTGTCGAGACAACGTCTGCGGCAGGCGGGAAGAGTGCTCTGTGACTTCAGAGGGAACCTCCGACTGTCCGCTTGGACAGCAGTGTGTGCTGACCTCGCGCGGCTACCGCTGTCAGCTGGGATCCGACCGCTGTCCGAGGCCTTTCTCTTCGCTTGGATGTAACCGCAACCAGTACTGCACTACCTCCTCCAGCGGCAATATCTGCACCGAAAAGCAGCCAGTGGACGCCAGGTGCACCGACCCGATCGAGTGCCTCTCCGGCACGTGCCGCAACAACCGGTGCAAGCAGGACGCGTGCCCCATGGTCGACACGTCCATCGACTGCATGCTCACGCAGTACTGCTCTCCGGGAGAGCGCGGCAACATGTGCGTGGCCAAGAAGGAAGCTCGGGCGCGCTGCTCAGCCTCGCAGCAGTGTCTCTCGAACGTCTGTGAGCGTGGAGTCTGTGTAGAGGACGAGTGCCCGAATCCGTACATGTCGGACCGCTGCCTGCCGTCCCAGTTCTGCAGCCCGGCTCCCCGCGGAAACATGTGCATGGAGAAGCGCGACACCAACGCGCGGTGCCAACGCGACATCGAGTGTATGTCCAACACGTGCTTCAACCAGCGCTGCGTCACCAACCAGTGCACGACGCCCTTCTCCACTGAGGGCTGCAGCACGATGACCCAGTACTGCACGACCACCGCCAACGGAAACCAGTGCGTCACCCGACTGGGCACTGGGGACACCTGTCTTGTCAACACGCAGTGTATGTCCAACAACTGCTTGGGAGGAACCTGTGCAGCCCCAACGCCCATTCTGAAGCAGAACGGAGCCTCTTGCACCAGCCCATCCGAATGCGCCTCTACGTTCTGCGTACTAGGCAGCTGCGCCGCCAACCAAATGTCCCTTGGCGGCATGTGCTTGGCCGCCACTGACTGCCAGTCGTTGACGTGCACCAACATGCAATGCGTTGCGTCTACCGCAACCACCACTGGTACCACCACCGATGTAACTACCACTGCAGCTACCACTGGTCTGGGAATCGGCGCAGCCTGCACCCTGGACTCGCAGTGCACCTCCATGCGTTGCCTGAATATGGTTTGTACGGATGCCCTTCTAGCTATCGGTGAAATGTGCGATGGGAATAACCAATGTCTCAGTAACCTGTGTAACGCCAATATGTGTGCACTAGGAGTTGTGGCAATGGATGCTCCCTGTACTAACAACTTCCAATGCGCAACAGGCCTCTGTGGCCCCGAAAACCTATGCGCGTAAGTTACAAGGGCGCATAAGTGCCACAAACGCGCATAACTTACAAGGTGGCATAAGTGCCACAAAAGCGCGTAAGTGAAAAATACGCCAGCCTTGTCTCGGTGATGTTAACGACTGCTATAGCGTTGTTACCTGCGCTCGTGTTTGCGCCCTTTGTCTTGTTTTGCTGCTCAGGGCTGCTTTGCGCAATGGGGGATGGTATCTGAGTCACTCCGAGCCTGCTAGTGTGTCTTTGTTTACACTTATGCTTATGTCCGCGTCCGAGTTGGTTTGGATCGTCCATGTTTGCTTTTGTTTGTCGGCCTGCTTGTGCGCCTATGGGATATGCTATAACACTACCTAAGAGCTTTATAAAACTGGACAGCTGCTATTGCAGACGCCTTTCAAGGCTGCTTGTTTTAGGCTTTAGTTTAGACTGCCTGGCCTGCTGGGGATTGATGCAGGACGTCACGCCGCTATGTTCGTGTTTGTTCAATGTTTGCTTTTGTTTGTTTTATTGTTTCATTTTCTACTCACTTTGTGTTGCTTGTCATGTGTCCCAGCAATTTGTTTGTTTGTGCTATTTGTTGCATTTTGTTTTCTTGCCTGTAGCATGCTTAAAATACATATTCCTGGTAAACTTTGGTGTTTTAATGAAATTGGTCATGCCTTTTATCGCGACGTCTTAGACATACTGTCAAAAAATGCGGCGAAAGGGAAGTGGCTTACATCGCTATTAATTGTCGAGCGCCTTTTGGTGTTGAGAAGTTTGTAAATTGGATGTTAAAAAACCTTCATTGGCGGCCCCATGTGTGGACATCAGTTAATGACTTGTTAATTATTTTGCCTGGTAAATTTTAGCCGTAAGGGATGAATTAGTGTAAGGCGTACGGATGCTCAAACAGCAGCAAGGAAGTGGCATAGACATATACATAGACTTAGACATAGACATTTTTTGGCATTCCGAACAAATCAGGCAAGAACAAATATAGGATAGATTAGATCGGTGCAAAGCAATAAAATTATTAAATTGAAGCGCCTCTCTGAGAAACTGCTACGTAACGAAAAAAAAACAGAACAAACAAAAACAGAAAAAAGCAATCAAACCACCGCCGTGTAGCGCCACACCCGCTACTCGGTAGTTACGCTGACTGCTTGGATGTTTGGATATATGGTTTATTTATATGGTCCTTTTGAGGAAACATGCTTACTTATAGGCCCGTTTTAGTTGTTGTAGGCGGTGATTTCGATAACAAAACAATTAAGCAATGGTAAAAAAGATGCAGAACATTCCTTACGCCTACAAACACAATTGAAATGGATCAAATTTATCTTGAATAGTTTAGAGGCTCTGTTTAGAGGGACATTGTGCAAATAATGACACGTAATAACCCTGATCTCAGATTACCAATGTATACAATTAGAAAAAATACGGTGATGGAAGCATTCAACTTTATCCTTTTATCACTACCGCTTAGATAATAGGTGCGCGCTTGATAAAGGCACAAAGCCGGAACCTATTGGTAGGTACCTACTATCGATCAGTATTCTTTTTCTCTTTTTTAATGCCGACTTATATGAGAGTAGGATTAATACCTTTTAGTGAATCCAATACAAATTAAGTTTAAGTTGTCCCTTCAGAATGTAATTCAGTCTCATCGTCTCTACATACAGCAATGATTGCAATAAATGCGTTGGAAACTGGAGTTTATCGACAACGATTAACCCTCGCCCGTAAACGGTGTTTTGCCACCTTCGCCCATGCAGGGGGGTTGGTGCGACCCCCCCTGGCGTTTGAAAATGAAGCATCGTAGAGCTTAGCGGAAAAGACCAACGGATTGCTCTCATCGAGATCTCGCGATTGGTGGTATATTTTTTGGTCCTAGGTCTACATTTGACCTACTTATGACCGGCCAAAGGTCAAATTTTCGGAAAAAAATCTAACTTTTTCAGATTTCCGCGCCGATTGCGGCAAAACGGTAATAGATATCGACTTACAACCTTCACTATCGTGATTCTTGATCAATTCTCTATCGTTTGGTGTGTATTTCGATGTCATAACTCTAAAAATGATGCGTTGGGAGCATCGGAAGTCTGCAAGGTCATTTGTGCATTGGGTCACGTCAGGCGTGTGACGTCACTGACCTGACCCTGACCCAAAATGAACTACAAGAAACAACCGACGATGCCTGAAATGGATAGCAAATTCGAATTCAGGGCATCAAAATACCCCGAAAAGGCATACAAGTGCAAGAAGTCATTACAGGTCAACCGAGGTCACTGACCTGACCTTGACCTTTAGTAACCTTGAAAATGTCAGCGTACATTGTGCCAATGTCAAATCAGCCAGTTATGATTCTAAAACAATCCTTCAGTGTCGCAGGTCAGTCGGCATTTATACCAATGTGAAGCAATCTCCAATTTAGCGTAAATCTGGCCGGAGGTTGTTCCCCTTATGACGTCATAACTCCGTGACCTGACATGACCTTGCCATTTTTTTTTACTTAAAGTTGCGCAAAGGATGCCCCAAAGGGTACTGAAAATTTGAGCAGGCTATCTGAAACGGTTCGGCGTGTAGCTAAGGAAAACCTCAGGGGGGGGGTGCACCAACCCCCCTCCCCCTATATGGGCGAGGGTTAAGAAGGCTGTGGTGATTTTTTATGCTCAACATGAGCTCCAAGCATGCCAACAAATCGTCGCACAATTTCTATCTAGGCAGTGAACAGTCGATGAAAAATGCGGGTGATAATTCCGCGGAAGCTATACCTATACGAGTAAAATGAAGCAAAAATGATTTTGCATGAGCGCACGGCACTGTGTTTTTATCCGTATATAACTGATGAAGCTTCATAAAGGCGTCAGCAGTTCCCCAAATTTTGGGTTTTTCAGTGTTACATGCAGAGAACATTGTCTGAGGAGTGAGGAACCAATCCGACGGATAACTGCCGCATTCTTCATTTATCGTAAGCAGAAACATCGAACAACATGCGTGATAACACCTCCTCCAAGCCTGACATGACAAAAGACAGCAAATGTAAGCAGTAAAGCAAACTTTATTGGAACGAGACACACGTTGCAAAACAGACGACATACAAAAAAAAAAGACGAAGGACAAAACATAGAACTGAAGTGGCGTCCTAGGGGATTCATCCGAAGGCTGGCATCCTGTCGTACAATTCGTTCGACACTAAAACAAGCAAAAGCAACTCTCTGATCAATATACGAATAAATGTCTTTAAACATACAATATATTTGCATGATGACAAAGACATCAACGCTGTTGTTGAAAGCAGCCAGGCAGTTTACAGCAGCAAAAGTGCATAGCGTGACAAGGACATGGACAAGCAAACGCAAGGACATGGAGAAACAAACGCAAGGACATTGACAAACAAGCATATTGACTATGGACGAAAACAATAACATCGACATGGACAAACAAGCAAAATGACATGGACAAACGAACAAGCAAAACAGCAGCTAGCAACTACAAAAGCAGCATAAGCACACGCGAGAATAAACAGGATTAAACCAAAAGCAGCCCAGCCTAAAGCAAAGCATAGCGTCAGCATCCATTAATCCTATACCCCAAAAGCAGCAAACAGCATGTGAGCATCCTTCAAGCAGCAAGCACCCTTCTCAACGACAATCCTAAGCACACAGGCCGGTACTAAGACACAGTGCGGTGGCACATTGGAAGTTATTGGTGCAAGGATCACCAGCGGCAACGGCGCCAAGCTCACACATGTTGACGTTACAGAGGTTGCTAAGACACTCTCCGTTCGCTGTGCACATTGATCCGATAGGTAGGAGGGCCTCTGTGCAGACCATGTCGAGACACCGCAGTGAAGTACACTGCGAGTCCAGGGTGCAGGCGGCGCCGATGTCCAGTCCCGTGCCGGTGGTGCCCGTGGTGGTGCCAGTGGTGGTGCCCGTGGTGGTGCCAGTAGAGGCAACACATTGCATGTTGGTGCACGTCAACGACTGGCAGTCAGTGGAGGCCAAGCACATGCCGCCAAGGGACATCCGGGTGGCGGCGCAGCTGCCCAGCACGCAGAACGAGGAGGCACATTCGGAAGAGCTGGTGCACGAGGATCCAATGGGCCTTTGGGCGGTGGTGGTGGTGGCTGAGCAGGTTCCTCCCAAGCAGTTGTTGGACATGCACTGGGTGTTGACGAGGCACGTCTGGCCAGCAGAGAGTCGGGTGACGCACTGGTTTCCGTTGGGAGTAGTCGTGCAGTACTGGGTCATTGTGCTGCAGCCTTCAGTGGAGAAGGGTGTCGAGCACTGGTTGGAGACGCAGCGCTGGTTGAAGCACGTGTTGGACATACACTCAATGTCGCGTTGGCACCGCGCGTTGGTGTCACGCTTCTCCATGCACATGTTTCCGCGGGGAGCCGGGCTGCAGTACTGGGACGGCAGACAGCGATCCGACATGTACGGGTTGGGGCACTCATCCTCCACACAAATTCCGCGCTCACAGACGTTCGAGAGACACTGCTGCGAGGCTGAGCAACGTGCCCGAGCCTCTTTCTTCGCCACACACATGTTGCCGCGTTCTCCTGGAGAGCAGTACTGCGTGGGCATGCAGTCAATGGACGTGTCGATCATAGGACAGGCATCCTCCTTGCACCGATTGTTGCGGCACGTGCCGGAGAGGCACTCGATTGGGTCCGTGCAAGTGGAATCTACTGGCTGTTTTTCGGTGCAGATGTTTCCGGTGGACGAGGTGCTGCAGTATTGGTTGCGGTTACATCCAAGCGAAGAGAACGGCCTCGGGCAGCGATCGGATCCGAGCTGACAGCGGTAACCACGTGAGGTCAGCACACACTGCTGTCCCAGCGGACACTCCGATCGTCCTCCTGAGGTCACAGAGCACTCCTCCCGCCTGCCGCAGACGTTGTCCCGACACACTCCGCTGATGCACTGGAACCCGGTGGTGCACGGACCGCCGTCACCACTTTGCGGCACGCACCTGGTGCCTCCCGGGGATCCAGTGGCGCACACATGTCCCTGAGGACACCCGGAGGTGAAGAGCGGCAGCGGACACTGGCGCGGGCTCGGGCGCGGGCGCGCCACGTAGATGACCGATGGCGTTCTGGCTACTTCGTTCGTAGTTGCACCGAGCCCTCCAAGTGTCCGGCTGAGACTGAGGAAGGAATTTCCCACACTACTGGCACCTGCGCTGGCCAGAGCGGCAGGACCCGACAGCAGGTTCCCGAGGAAGAAGAACCGTCCTCGTCGGCTGGACTCTGTCTTCTTAGAGTCTTCCTCAGCCTTGTCCTGTTTTGCGGCGCACTGGGCAGAGGCTATCAGCCCGACAAAGAGCACGACGCAAAAGAGCTTCATGCTTAGACACCGACAGAAATTGTGGTAAGAAAACAAAGTGGAAGAGAAGAGACCCTATGAAGAATCCTCGTCCACCGGTATGACCACCGAGGATAGCCTGGTGGAGGGAAGCTCTTAGAGGTGACTGGTACTGATCTGGCCGAACTCCCTCGCTTATATACTACCAACCACCCCCGCCTCTGAGGCTCACAAGTCTCAGGACTTGCTTCTCTCGAACCAGTTGTTCGACGGACAATGGGATGAACGTGGCACGTGAGACGATTGGCGAAAATCCACTGTGCGTTGCACCTTAATCGGTTGTCATTGTGTTGATTTCAATGGTCTCTTTCAATGATCGATTTTATATATTTGCGTGTGTTTTGAATATTAATGTGATGAGGATGGATGCGGTGGGGTGATAGCTTTGCGGTTAGGCAGTTTAGTGGCGGTGCTTGCCGTGAGAACACACATTGTTGTGGAGGGTCAGCGTATCTCTACATAGAAGAAATTGTCCACTTCTTGAAGACTTTGTGTGGTGCTAGTGCCATCGGATAGGAGTGGAGTGGTGACTTTGTGATGACGAAGCTGCAGTGACTGGTGTGGCCTCTGATTATGCCGCCAAGATGAAACTCTTTCTTCTGCTCTTCTGCTATAGCATATGTGTGCTTTCACTCTTCAACACTTCTCTTTAGAATCCCCCAGTGATAACTAAAGGTGTAAAAAACTTGGATCCCAACAACTTTCCAAGAATAACAAACTATAGATACTGAAACTGATCAACACTTTGCAACCCTTATTTTATATCCTGAGTACGTTAGATCAGAGAGCTACAGGATACCGATTGGGTTGAGTAGGTATTTATTCAAACATACCAAAAAGGTATGGTTTGAACGATATAAAGTCCGAACTGCTTATACGACTCTACATGATAAACTGTCAATCACAGCTGTTCCATGTCTGATCTTGTACATTTAGCTCAGACGTGGCTGGGAATCGAGCCTACCAGTCCATGCCGTAGGGGAAGTTGATTAGCTAGATGGATGTAGTATGGTTAGATGTTTGGTAAGCTGACACGTTGATTTGTGGGGTGTTTGGTTGGTAAGTTAGGTGGCCGCCATGTTCATGGAATTGTTATGGAGTCGCACTGGAATCATTGGATCATGGGCTACATTTGTTGGATTTTTTTTCTGTTAGTTGCTAGTTGCTACTGTAGATCTTAGATCTAAGATAACTTTTCATTCCGACTGGGATTATAGGACTGGGATCTCAGTCTGCAGTCTACTATAACACCGATTGTAGTCATAGGTCCAGCAACAAAATGCATTATCCTACAGACACTAATGTGCATAGTCTGGAGCGCCCTTACACACTTGAAACCTAAGGTTAACCACAAGTTTCTGAAAATCAATCTTAGCAATGATGTAACAATATTTCGTAACAAAGCTACGTGTCTATGTGGAACCTTCCAACACAGTTACGAGGCTGTTCGAACAGGACCAAGTCTCTCAATAAGGACTGACATATCCATAATCTCAGCTATAGCCTATATACATCGAAACCTGTGAGAAGAGTGATAAGTTCTCTCAGAGGAAGAGCGTTTTTCTTTGGCGACTCTGAAGTCTGAGGTTACCGGATAGAAGAGTGGCTGTGAGGCTGCTGATAGAGGTTCAAGTCAGCAATTCTTAACTTTCTAGATAATCTATCAGAGACGGCACATGTTTTGACGGCAATCACGTCCATTCCTAGAACGAGGTTTGAAATTCGAAAAAAAGAGAACGCTTGCTGTAAGAGGCATACCTTCTCACTCTGCTACTATAGATCAAAGTCTCTTTAGTAATGATTAAGATGAAAAAAGACACAACGAGATCGCATCCAATCATTAAATGCAGCCTTGAACTGGAATTTTTAAATCTACTACCCCAGAAAGACTTGCAAGCTCAACTAGCACGCTTGCTAGATAAATTATCTTTATAACGCTACGCTTACTGCTCCGCGTGACTTCGAGTATGAATCAGCACCATTCGACCATTACATTCGACGCAATAGTCAGCTAAAAACTCTGATAACTTGGGAAGTCCTGCAACTTCAACTACCACTAAGATTATTTCACCGAATAATACTACGTTCACTTCCCGCAATTTGCATACAACCGAGCATAAGCCAACGCAAACCGACATCCTCACCACAAAAACTCCGTGTTGTCGCTCAGCAAACCTCCACAAAACTCCTCACTAACCCCCCACCAGCACAGTTCACCTTCCAACATCAATATTCAAATCATACACACGCATATAAAACTGATCGATGTCAGAAACCATTGAAAGCCCTGGAATTTAAATCGCTAACATTGCAACGCACAGTTTCGCTTGTTCTCCCAGGTCACGTATGACACGGATGCCGTCTGGAACTGATTCGACTGTGAAACGACAGGTTCAGAGATGTGGCAAAGGGTCAGGTTCTGATAGTGTAGAACACCCTGAGGGGATCGAGGTGGGTATATAAAGAAGTTGTGGGGGTTAGGTTGGTATCAGAGTCGACTTGGAGTCGATTGGATCAAGTGAGCGGTCTGAAGTCTGGCGGAAGGTGATTCTCTTCAGATACTTTTTCCTTTCTCTTGGTTCCTCCCTACTCCTCAGTTCTGTTGATTTCCTATCATGAAGCTGTCCTACGTTTTTCTCTTTGTCGGGCTGATAGCCTCCGCGCAGTGCGCCGCCAAACAGGACAAAGCTGAGGAAGACTCTAAGAAGACCGAGTCTAGCCGACGTGGACGGTTCTTCTTCCTCGGTAATCTGCTGTCGGGTCCTGCCGCCTTAGCCAGTGCCGGAGCAAACAGCGTCGGCAAGTCCTTCCTCAGCCTTAGCCAGACTTTGGGAGGCGTGCAGTCGACAAACACAGTTTCCAGGCCTCCATCGGTCGTCTACGTGGCGCGTCAGCAGCGCCAGTGTCCGCTGCCGCTCTTCACGTCCGGATGTCCTCTGGGACATGTGTGCTCCACCGGAGGTTCGGGAGGCACCAGGTGCGTTCCCCAGAGTGCCGACGGCGGCCCGTGCACCACCGGGTTCCAGTGCATCAGCGGAGTGTGTCGGGACAACGTCTGTGGCAGGCGGGAGGAGTGTTCCGTGACCGGCGTGGGACGCTCCAACTGTCCGCTGGGACAGCAGTGTGTGCTGACCTCACGCGGCTACCGCTGTCAGCTCGGATCCGACCGCTGCCGGAGGCCGTTCTCTTCGCTCGGATGTAACCGCAACCAGTACTGTACCAGCTCTTCCACGGGCAATTTCTGCACCGAAAAGCTGCCCGTCGACGCCAGGTGCACCGACCCCATCGAGTGCCTCTCCGGCACGTGCCGCAACAACCGGTGCAAGCAGGACGCGTGCCCCATGGTCGACACGTCCATCGACTGCATGCCCACGCAGTACTGCTCTCCGGGAGAGCGCGGCAACATGTGCGTGGCCAAGAAGGAGGCTCGGGCGCGTTGCTCAGCCTCGCAGCAGTGTCTCTCGAACGTCTGTGAGCGTGGAGTCTGTGTGGAGGACGAGTGCCCGAATCCGTACATGTCGGACCGCTGCCTGCCGTCCCAGTTCTGCAGCCCGGCTCCCCGCGGGAACATGTGCATGGAGAAGCGCGACACCAACGCACGCTGCCAACGTGACATCGAGTGTATGTCCAACACGTGCTTCAACCAGCGCTGCGTCTCCAACCAGTGCACGACGCCCTTCTCCAATGACGGCTGCAGCCTGATGACCCAATACTGTGCCACCACCATCAACGGAAACCAGTGCGTCACCCGACTCTCTGCTGGGCAGACGTGCCTCGTCAACACCCAGTGCATGTCCAACAACTGCTTGGGAGGAACCTGCTCAGCCACCACCACCACCGCCCAAAGGCCCATCGGATCCTCTTGCACCAGCTCTTCCGAATGCGCCTCCTCGTTCTGCGTGCTGGGCAGCTGCGCCGCCACCCGGATGTCCCTTGGCGGCATGTGCCTGGCCTCCACTGACTGCCAGTCGTTGACGTGCACCAACATGCAATGTGTTGCCTCTACTGGCACCACCACGGGCACCACCACGGGAACTACCACAGGTACCACCACAGGCACGGGTCTTGGTATCGGTGCCGCCTGTACCCTGGATTCCCAGTGCACCTCACTGAGGTGTCTCAACATGGTTTGCACGGCTGCCCTTCTGTCAATCGGTGAGACGTGTACGACTAATGCGGAGTGTCTGAGTAACTTGTGCAATGTTAATATGTGCGCACTGGGAATCGTGGCGTCTGGAGACCCATGCACCAATAATTTCCAATGTGCCTCTGCACTCTGTGATGATACTATGCTCTGTGCATAGGCAGTAGGCATTCATCTGTTTCTAGAAAGCCTAGAAGAAGCTGAACTAGAACATCGCAGAAAGAAAAACTGCTGCATTACACTCACAGTGCATTGCTGGACCATGTCTTGACCCTATACTCCGAGGCTAAGTTCAGCCACAGCTCATTATGTCCTATCGATGTCGATACAGCTCGAAATGTCTCTTGCTTAGAAAAGCTATTGCATCACATCCATACGGCTTTGTTTTGTTATTATCCTCACGCTGTTTGTTTAGCAAGTTTCTAAGCAAGATATGTTGTCGCTTTTGTAGTGGTTAGCTGCTTATGCGCTGTGTCCGCTTGTTTTTGTCCTATCATGTTTGTCCCTGTCTTTGTGTGTGGTCATGCTACACTGCCGGTGCTTAGTAGACATGCTTTCATAATTTGCCTCGAATTATCGTTGCTTATGCCAGCTGAGAAAGGATGCCGTTTGATGCGTGTGCCTTTCGTTGCTTCGATTGCTTGCCACTTTTTCATCGTTCAGCACGCTTAGTGTATGCGGATTGTTGCCAGCTTGAATGTATTGTCCATTGTCTCCGTGTTTCATCGCATGCTTTTATTTGAGTCATAAATAAACTTGACTTGCAACTGAATTTCACTACCTGTGGCTGGACCAGAATTTTTAGGGGGATATTATGCAGGATTTCCATAATGGTTTGATTAGCTAGAAATAATTTGAGTGCGGAGTATTACAGGGAGTCATGTTTGGCTCTGTTCTTTTACTGAGCTGCACCACCACGGAGGTATCGCAGTTGCTTTGCAAACTATTAGCAGGTGATTTCAAAATCCTCTTCTGTGCAGAATCCAGAGGTTGCTATCAGGTAATGGGTTTTATATGCCAAGATTAGCTGAGTTTTGATACTTTTTCATGCTTGAGCGTTGCACTTTGTGTAAAAAAAGGGCATGGGAAGTTTGGTGCTCTCCGTTTCTCTAGCCCTTCAATTGTATACATTGATATTTACCGAGCTTCCTAGTATTTAGATGGAAAACGGATCATACAAAATATAAAAACTTGGTGTCTTGATGAGGCCAAACTTCAGACGTTATTATGGAGACAGGGTGGGTAGAACAAACGAACAAACAGATGGAGGGATGGACGAACAGATGAACTGTCGGTTGGGCATACGGTTGGACAGGCGGACATACGGTTAAACAGACGAACTGACGAACGGACAGACACCAGGCGGACGGACGGACAGACAGAACACAGAGCGGATGGAGAGACGGACTGACGGATGGACAGGCAGACGGACTGACGGAAGGACAGACAGAACAGCGAGCGGATGGAGAGACGGACTGACGGGCGGACTGTCAAATAGACAAAATGGCGCGCGAACTGACGGAAGGACGGTCGAAAGGGTGGACAGACGGACGGACACACGGTTAGACGAACTGACGAACGGACGGACGGTCAATTACAGACGAAATGGCGGACGGAGAGGCGGGTGGATGGACGATCAGACGAGCATACAAACAAATGTTCCGAGAGACGGACGGACAGACAGACGAAATGGCGGACGGACGGACGGACAGACGGGTGGACAGACGATCGGACGAACATACGAACTAATGTACCGAGAGACGGACGGACAGACGCGCTGACGAACGGTCACAAAGTGGCTGACTGTGAGCTACCTGTGAGTGCCTAAGGACTGCTAAATTCAAAGCACATGCATACGTCCTATGACAAATATTTGCCATTTGTCAAATTTTGACAGATAATTAACATGTCATATGACAGGTGATTACCATATGTCATACGACAGATGACAACACGAACAGAAAAGTAGCGACTTGCACCCTCAAAAGGCAACAGGTCACGATTCAAAAGACAAAAGGAGAGCTCAGCTGGCAAGTTGGGCTAAAGTGACTAATCAGTGTGAATTTTTGTTGTAAATTTATGTCAAATGCCTGTTCTTTGCCATTAAATCCAACATTTTAGACATATCACATTCTAAGGCCGACATCTCTGGGATCTGGCAAATTCTCCATCTAAGTCAGGGATTTCTGGAGAGCAGACTTGACACAAGGCGTACATATGTTATCCGTCTTACGTTTTTAAAATGCTCCGTCTCGTGTGTTCGCTCTGTTATCCGAATTCAGGCTCAACCATAAACAGTGAACTTCAACTCAAGTCAAATTTATTTTTGACACAAATAAAGCAAGGCGTACAACATACACATGCGGACAAAGGATGAAATTGAAACTGACAAACCTCAACATAGATATAGAACGATCAAACGTGAAACGTCATCTAATGAATGAAGAAAACGATCATAACAGCATAATTTGTCATCTACAAACAAGCAACGCTACTACGACGCTAATTACAAAAGCATCTCTAATAAGCAGCGGCAGCATTGTACGACAAAACATAAGGACAAACAGCGCAACAAGGACAAAGATAAAAGCGAATAAGCAGCTACGATCTTATCTATAACTAATCGCATTTTGCCACAACTAATATCAATCAGAGACTATTTAACTTTCCGCAAAATTTTAGTCGATGGTAAAGCTAAAGATAAGTATATGTTTACTCTTTTGCCACGAGGGGTTGGTTGGAACAAATGGCTAGGGAGGGGAGGGGAGGGGAGGGGAGGCAGTTGGGGAGGGGAGGGAGGGGAGCAGTGAGTTGGGAGGGGGAGGGAATGTTTCACCGATCTGACGCGAGGTTATCACCGGGGGAACCAGGTAGTCACCGATCAATACAGGGGTGCACGCCAGGTGTAGGGCGGCCACGCAGCCCCAACTACCGCTACACGAGTCACTGCCGCACCGAGCTCTCCCGTAATACCGTTATATCGGCCGTAATACTGTTACAGTTCATACTGTTATCGCCCTATCCGTAAGTGCAGCGCCAGATGTGGAAGGCTTTTAACCCTCGCCCGCACATGGGGGGGGGGGTGCCACCCCCCAGGTAGTCTTTCTGCTCTGCACTGCACTCGACATTTTTAGAGCTAGAAGGCTAATTTTTCGTTCGTATAGCTGCTCCTCCATTCTTTCTTGATGTGCACTGAAAATTTCAAGTTTCTGTGATTTTTTGTTTCGGAGATATGACCTTGTTTTTCAGGTCATGTCATGACCCAAATGGCCAATTCTCAACATCTTGCGTTTGCTATGGGCCTTGTAAGCTTTTGACACCTTGATTTCGGCCTTTTTTGCCAGTCTTACCTCCCACCTATCGTGGAACATGTTGTTCGACGATGTACAGGTGTCAAGGTCAGGGTCAAGGTCAGCCTAGGTCATCTGAGATAATTGCGTTTTAGGCAAGCTGAATTTACTTTTTGTGAAGTTTTTTTTACTGCATTTTTGGTAAAAGCTTCTCAGATCATTATTTCACGTAATATGGACACATAAACAATCGTTGCACACATCAAAAAATTGTAAATTTTGGTGCCCGTGTTATCACCGGCAGGCGGCGAAGTGACCACGTGTCAGATGCAATCAAACTTCTAGGGTGGCTTACAGCTGAGCAGCTCATCGATTTTCACACTATATGTGCCTTGCAACGTATTATCCGGAACGAAGAGCCCACAGGCCTGTACCTCACCATCGGTTCGCAAGCAGACGAGATCCACGATCACAACACACGTCGAGCCGTAAACAGGACGTTGCCGCGCATACGCACCGAGACGGGTCGGCGACGACTGTGTTACCGAGGCGTTTCGCTGCTGAATAGGCACCGACTGGATCCTGCAGATCGTAGTTTCCGCGTTAAAGTTAAGACGGCGCTGGGAGCTGATGATGGATGATGCTCTGCGAGTGTCAGTCGTTCGTCGCCAATCTTGAATTGTGGCATTCTCACAGGCATCAAACTGAGTCCCCCCCCCCTTTTACTTAGTCATGTGTTGCATTAGGTATTATGTGAGTGTTTGCGTGATTGATGTGCGATTTTAATTATGTCTGATGTCCCAGTAACATTCCCCATTGATTTACTGATTGACGTGAGAAAGTGAAAAGCCCCGTTTTACGCGGACCTTTTTCGAATAAACTGATTCTGATTCTGATTCTGATTCAGTATACACACAGACACACACATACATACAAACACATATAATTGACCCTGACCTAGCTTGACCTGGAATGACCTCAGCAGCAAAAATCTGGTCGGGTAGTGTGACAAAGAGGTTCTAGCTGGCTTGGCACCAGAAAACGGCATCGTCATCGGTATATGATAAGCAGCGCACTTGATATCCAACGGTGACCCAAAACAGCAACATTTTTTAGTTTGACCTGACCTGGAAGGTCAATAACTGACCTGAGAAGGTAAAACTGGGTATCATTGGATTTGTCTCTTCCCAAAGAATCTTGTTGGTCTTTACCGCTAAGCTCTATCTCCAACAGGAACGAAATGGCGCGGGGGTGGTGGCAACCACCCATCCCCCCCATGTGCGTTCTAGGATGGGAAAATGGCATGTGCGGGCGAGGGTTAATGTCCCGACTCGTGAATGTCTTCATATACGTGATTGCATAATGCCTATCATCATAGACCACTATATACCTATGGTATATACCACTATATACCTATGGTATATACCACTATATACCTATGGTACCTATATACCTATTACCTATCGTCTATGGTATCATACATTCTATATAGTCATAGATCAACACATACAAGTACACAGCATGCCTATATTTGTATTTGTAGGTATAAGAAAATAACGCTCACAAAAAGCATATAGAATTAAAGGGAAGCCTTGTCAAAGACGACAAGATGGCGCGTGGACCACAGCGTAGCGTAACATACATAGTTTCGAATTTTTTGCCAATGTTGCCAAACTTGGCAGAACTCCAAACACGCGAGTAGGTATACTCGAGGGCAGCGCTTTTCGAGGAGCGCTGTGGCCCGAAGGTTTGGACTTTGAATTGTGAAAAACGCCCGCCCGCCGGAAAACGCAAACACCGCAAAACGCGCAAAACGCACGCCCGAAACGCCAACGCAAACGTCGCAAAAAATAAACAAACGCCCGCCCGCCGCAAACCGCAAATAAAAAACGCAAAAACGCCGCAAAACAATAAAACCGCCCGCCAACCGCAAACAAATTTAACACCGCAAACGACGCAAAAAAAAAAGAAGAAAACCGCCCGCATCGCCCGCCCGCCCGCCCGCCCGCCGCCAAAGACAAACACCGCAAAAAACACAAAACGCCCGCCCGCCGCAAAACGTAAACACCGCAAAACGTGTAAAACGCACGCCCGAAAAGCCAACGCAAACGGCAAAAAATCACCCGACCGCCGCAAACCACACAGAAAAAAAACGCCGAAACGCCGAAAAAAATCAAACCGCCCGCACCGCACCGACGCTAACTGCTAACCGAAAACGACTAAAAGTCGCCCGCCAGCCGCCAAACGCAAACACCGCAAATAAGCGCCCGGCCGCAGCAAGATAATAATTTATCAGCGGCTGGCATACCGCTAGGCTGGTCATTTTCACAAATCAAAAAGATATCTGCAAAAATCTCCTAGATGAAAGCACCCGATTAAAAAACGGATGGCATGTGCGTGTTCCTCGCCCCCAACTTCCTTCAGGTCAATCGTCATTTGGGTCATCTAACGCATTGACGTATCTGCAAAAATCTCCTAGATGAAAGCGCCCGAGTAAAAAACGGATGGCACGTGCGTGTTCCTCGCCCCCAACTTCCTTCAGGTCAATCGTCATTTGGGTCATCTAACGCATTGACGACCGGCTGGGTGGAATGAACATTGCGCCAAGAAACGTAAGTATATTGTCAAAAAGAATCCCCAGAGTGGTGGATCCCAAAAGTTTGAAACTACCACTTTGGCCCACTGGACGACACCTTAAACAGTTGCCGACCGGATGACACCCATTGTTTGGTCACCCACGCCATAGTATGCATCATGGGTGCGCCGAAATGACCAAAAGTCCCAATTTCCGGTGTGCAGGGTCATTTTCAACGGCACGTGGCACGTGGTTCTGGACTTTTCCGGCCACTTTGCGACATACCCATGGGTAGTGCACCGAATGGTGGTTGATCTGCATGTAAGAAAATGGGGGGTCGTTTGGATCGTTTTCGAGCAATCTGCCGTGGAACGCATTTTTTCATTTTCCCCATTGGCTTAACACGGGAATTTTTAAAGTCACGTGGCACGTGCACCAGATGGTCCGCGGAGGGGAGACCCATACCAGAACGTAGATCACCTGGCCCACTAGAAATCCTGAAAAAATCAGAATATTTGGACCAGCCGTTTTCAAGAGCATCAAGTTGTACTGATCTCAGGCAGCTTTTGCCAAATTGTCAGGGAACTCAGATTTGTTTTTCAATAGAAAAACACAATTCTAAAGAATAGTGTTTTAACTATTGACAACAAACCTTCGGTTACATTTTACAGCGCAGATATGCTGATGATAGTCGACACTTCTCGCCCAGAAACGCCTGGATGGAGTCGCAGTTGTTCATCAGGTAGAACGTGAAGGCACACTCGAAAGGGCTGATGCACTCGGAGGCTTCTCTTCTCCCACGCAATCTCAAGTGTTCTGAAGTAGGCCGTATTTCAACCATAAGCTGCGATTCAAATACAAGTCTCTACAGCATCCAACAAAGCACAGATCTACCAAGTAGTTTCGAATTTTTTGCCAATGTTGCCAAACTTGGCAGAACTCCAAACACGCGAGTAGGTATACATTTTACAGCGCAGATATGCTGATGATAGTCGACACTTCTCGCCCAGAAACGCCTGGATGGAGTCGCAGTTGTTCATCAGGTAGAACGTGAAGGCACACTCGAAAGGGCTGATGCACTCGGAGGCTTCTCTTCTCCCACGCAATCTCAAGTGTTCTGAAGTAGGCCGTATTTCAACCATAAGCTGCGATTCAAATACAAGTCTCTACAGCATCCAACAAAGCACAGATCTACCAAGAATTCAGTAACCGTTATAGTCAGAGGACATTGAAGCTTCACCAGCACCACGTCACCACTCTACAACACATCTTGGACACCAACACCACCCCACACACAGTCCACACGCAGTGCGTGCTCTCGCTCGGGGCACTTTCCGTGGACTGACAGACGTAATCCTCCCACTACCACCGTCCTCACTTACTTCCCGCATCAATATTCAACCCATACACACTGAAATATATATTAAAACCGTTGATCTTGCCGGCCTTTCAAGGCGCCGGAATGAGCGGCGTGTGGCGCGCCACGCACAATATCTTCTCTTCACTCCGATCACGTCCGAGGTGAATTCCTTGGTGAACTACTTTGGCAGTAAAGCGACTCGTCAAAGAGGAAGTGGAGGAACTAGGTCTCGGGATTTGTGAGGCCCCCGGGCGGTCGAGGCTGGTATATAAAGGAGGGTTGGTGGTTCGGTTAGTATCAGAGTCGGCTTGTTGGAGTCGATTGGATCAGGCGTGGTTCTCCGCTAAAGCCTTCCTTTTTAGTAAAAACTAACTCTTTTGAGTCTTTTCCTTTCACTTGGATCTTCTCCTCTCCCAAACCCTGTTGATTTCCTATCATGAAACTCTCCTACGTTTTCCTCTTTGTCGGGCTGATAGCCACTGCGCAGTGCGCCGCTAAACAGAACGAGACCGAAGATGCCTCTGAGAAGACCGAGTCCAGTCGCCGCGGCCGCTTCTTGCTGCTGACCAAGCTGCTGGCAGCTCCTGCGGCGCTGGCTAGCGCCGGTGCCAGCAGCGTCGGTAACTCCTTCCTGAGCCTTAGCAGAACCCTGGGTGGTTTCCAGACCTCCAACAGCGTCTCGCATCCTCCAGCGGTCGTCTACGTGGCGCGTCAGCAGCGCCAGTGTCCGCTTCCACTCTTCACGTCCGGATGTCCTCTGGGACATGTGTGCTCCACCGGAGGTTCGGGAGGCACCAGGTGCGTTCCGCAGAGCCCGGACGGCGGCCCATGCACCACCGGGTTCCAGTGTGTCAGCGGAGTGTGTCGAAACCACGTCTGTGGCAGGCGGGAGGAGTGCTCTGTGACCGGAGTGGGACGCTCCAACTGTCCCCTGGGACAGCAGTGTGTGCTGACGTCACGTGGCTACCGCTGTCAGCTGGGATCCGACCGCTGCCCGAGGCCGTTCTCTTCGCTCGGATGTAACCGCAACCAGTACTGTACCAGCTCTTCCACGGGCAATTTCTGCACCGAAAAGCTGCCCGTCGACGCCAGGTGCACCGACCCGATCGAGTGCCTCTCCGGCACGTGCCGCAACAACCGGTGCAAGCAGGACGCGTGCCCCATGGTCGACACGTCCATCGACTGCATGCCCACGCAGTACTGCTCTCCGGGAGAACGCGGCAACATGTGCGTGGCCAAGAAGGAGGCTCGGGCGCGCTGCTCAGCCTCGCAGCAGTGTCTCTCGAACGTCTGTGAGCGTGGAGTCTGTGTGGAGGACGAGTGCCCGAATCCGTACATGTCAGACCGCTGTCTGCCGTCTCAGTACTGCAGCCCGGCTCCCCGCGGGAACATGTGCAGGGAGAAGCGCGACACCAACGCACGTTGCCAGCGCGACATCGAGTGTATGTCCAACACGTGCTTCAACCAGCGCTGCGTCACCAACCAGTGCACGACACCCTTCTCCACTGACGGCTGTAGCCTGATGACCCAGTACTGCACGACCACCATCAACGGAAACCAGTGCGTCACCCGACTCTCTGCTGGCCAGACGTGCCTCGTCAACACCCAGTGCATGTCCAACAACTGCTTGGGAGGAACCTGCTCAGCCACCACCACCGGCCAAAGACCCATCGGATCCTCATGCACGAGCCCCACCGAGTGTGCCTCCTCGTTCTGCGTGCTGGGCAGTTGCGCCGCCAACCGGATCTCTCTCGGCGGTATGTGCCTCACCTCCACTGATTGCCAGTCAATGGCATGCTCTAACATGCAGTGCGTCACCGCCGGCACCATCACCACCACTGGCACCACCACTGGCACCACCACTCTCCCCAACACTTCTGGCCTGGGGATCGGTGCCGCCTGCACACTCAACACCCAATGTGCCTCACTGAGGTGTCTGAACATGGTATGCACCACAGCTCTACTTCCTGTTGGGGAGATGTGTACCGCTAATACTGAGTGCCTTAGTAACCTTTGTAACGCCAACATGTGCGCACTGGGAACGGTGGCAATGGGAGATCCCTGCACCAATAACTTCCAGTGTGCCACCGGGCTCTGTACTGACGCCTTGTTGTGTGCTTAGAAGGATCGTTGTATGGGAGATCCCTGCACCAACAACTTTCAGTGTGCCACCGGGCTCTGTACTGACGCCTTGTTGTGTGCTTAGAAGGATTGTTGAATGGGTGATCCCTGCACCAACAACTTTCAGTGTACTGACGCCTTGTTGTGTGCTTAGAAGGATTGTTGGATGGGGGATTCCTGCACCAACAACTCTCAATGTGCTACAGGGCTCTGCACTGACGCCTTGTTGTGTGCTTAGAAGGGTTGTTGTGTCAGACCTAGAAGGACTGATGTAATTACAGTGTCCTTATAGATTGTATAACACAACTTTGTTGGGTGTTTGGAAGAATTGTTGCATCAGTCTTAGAAGGATTGCTGTGGCAGAGATACGTTTGTGCTTCTTGGTTTTGTACAAACGCTATGTTGTGCGCTCAGTAGAAGGTAGTTGCGCTAGACCTACTATTTCCTTCTGGGCTATATGGCAACAGTTTGGTGCTTAGAAGGACGTCATACCCATTCGGTCTTTGTTTTGTTTTTGTCCTACGTTTCCTGGGAGTTTACGTTACCACTTTGCTTTGTAGGTCATAGCTGCTTATTCGCTTTTATGTTTGTCCTTGTTTCGTTGTTTGTCCTTGTGTTTTGTCGTACGATGCTGCCGTTGCTTCTTAGAGATGCTTTTGTTATCAGCGTCGTAGTAGCGTTGCTTGTTTGTAGATGACAAATTATGTTGTTCTGATCGTTTTCTTCATTCATTAGATAACGTCCCACGTTTGACCGTTCTACGTTTATGTTGATGTTTGTCAGTTTCAATGTTTGTCCTTTGTCTGCATGTTTTGTTGCACGCTTTGCTTTATTTGTGTCACAAATAAATTTGACTTCAGCTGAAGTTCACTGTTTACGGTTGAGCCAGGATTCGGATAACAAATTGAACACATAAGCGGGAACACTTTGAAACGTGAGACAGATGACATACCTAAGTACAGTCCACAGCAGAAGTAATGTGTGGTTTCAGTCATGGGTATGTTCTGCTTCTGAAGCCTAGGAACGATTAGCCAGACTGCAACGAGACTTTAAATGTAGCTTACATGTATCTTCACCCTTGCAGCTACAACTTTATCTATTCACGTGTTCTTTTCAATCACTCCGCATTAAACAATCGCCAGTCAAAGCCAACCGTTGAGATTGGTAAAACCACACATTACTTTAGCGGTGGACTGTAAGCCTCGTGTCATGTCTACCTACTCTCCAGTAGTCCCTGAGGCGATGGAGTCTTTGCGAGATCTCAGAGATGTCGGCTTTATAGTGCTTAAAATGTTGGATGTGATGGTAGAAAACTGGTATTTGACATAAAAATACGACTAAAATAACTTCATGACATGTGATAACATGTGATATGATATTGGTCCCAGGCGTTAGCCCTTGCCACGCCAGGACCTTTTAGTCATAATGAGGACGGCCGAGGGGGGAGGGGGGGTACGACCCTCCTACAGGTCAAAAGTTTTTTTGCCTATACAAATGATTAGATGTAACTTTTGATCTAATCAAGATAGAGCGCAAAAATAAAGCACAAATGAACTCAGCACGTCCGTGCACATCGAATGTTGCACTTTGTTACAATTTTAGGTGAATTTGGGTTTTTGCTAATTTTTCAGTGAACTTAAATTCATTAACCCGCGCACCGACGGGGGTCTGCGCCAACTTCGTACCGACGGGGGGGGGGGGGGGCGGATGACCTGAGAGATCTCGAGAACACTCGATGACCCTGAGATCTCGAGAACAAAGCAAGATAGCGACAAGCGGTAAACGGCAAGGGATACGCACGGACAAGGTCTACAATTTTTACAAAGATCATTTTCAGGTCAGGTCAAAGATGACGTCACAGGGATCAAAAAAGTCAAAATGGCGGCGCTAGGTATGGAGAGAGTTTTTCTCGAATTACTTTTGAACTAGTCAGTATAGGAACAAACTAAGGGCAGCATCGTGATCCTCTCGTCAATCCGCATCGAATGATATATATGTTGACCTCGAAAGGTCAAGGTCAAAGGTTGACCTCAGGTCACGTGACCTCGAGGTCATCATGTATATCATTCAATGCGCCTTGACGAGCTGAACACAATGAGACCATCCGCGCGGCTGTATCTTGTTCCTGTACGGAGTTATTGTCAAAAAACCGCTGGTGACCTTTGATGACGTCACATGACCTTACAGCTGCCTAACAGCAAAACAGACCTCAGGGTAGTGAAGGTTGATCGTATATGAGTTCATGTATGGTTTATGGGGCCCTACTTCTGTTGTGATGTAAAACACTCGGCAAGCTGATGATGCGTTGAATTGTTCTTATATTTTAGCTTGGTGTCATTCGCTCAGCTTGTGTATCTTTTTAGAGAGTTAAGTGTATTTCTTAGCTGAGTTATGTGTCTAGTGTGTCTGGTGTGTCGTAACTTGCAAGTGAAGCATCTTTATAGATCCTGCGGTAGATAGGGACAAATGGAGAAAGATGAGCCTCTTTTAGGATGCACTGTACTTCTAATGATGCATTTTGGAACGTTTCTGCATGATTGGGCCACTTCTGTGAAGTGTAAAAGCTTGTGTCTATCCTGATTGATGTCAGGCCGGTTCCTTTGTCGATCTAACACCCTCTTTGAAATAAAGTTCCCTTGGGACATCTTGTACAGTCGTGTACAGGTTGATGGTCCGCTACTCTTTATCCACCGGGTTCCTATGGCTCATCATTGGCAGCAGCCGCCTGGTACCGGTAGGCTGTGCCGCATGACCCGAAAGTGAAGCGGCACAGCCTACCCACACTGTATGACACCGGCTCGGGTCGCCTGGTAGAGCGATTTGACCGGACGCTGCGTTACACCGGCAGGGGGAGGGGGGGGGGGTAGGGGTCAGGCCTGTCTATTTGGCTCGGCTCGGTGGATGAGGCGGGCTGGAGTGTGGTGTGAAGCGGGGGTGATGTGGGGAGTGAGTGAGCGAACCTGGGCCCAATCTTACCAATGCCGTGGATGCAGATGCCGTGGATGCCTACCACGGCGGCTGATCCACGGCACTCCATTTACCCAATCTCACCAATGCCGTGCCACGGCATTTCTATTCACGTCATTTTGCCCACGGTACAATTCAGCGCCAGCAGAAAACACGCAACGTGATTGGTCAATTCTTGTCACCTTCGCTATGGGAAATTGTGCGTATTGCTTGTGAACAAGTATAGCTCTCTATTTAAAGTCTTGTCGGGCGTTTATTTGTTTTAGAGCCCTACATATGCGTGAAGGATAAGTTATTTGTGGAAAACGTGATAGCAAACTATGAAAAACTAAAGCCTGCCTAAAGAATTCTCCTGAAAAGCGGATTACTGGCCTAGTAAACTTCCGCGAGGACATTCTCGCGCTGAGAAAATCGAGTGGATTAGATTTCAACTTCGTTTCGCTGCTCATCATTTCTATTTACTTGCTGTTAAGATATTGCAACAATTTTGAGATAAAATTATTGAAGTAACGACCTAGTGATAGCTCCGCTGTTGTTTCTAAGACATTGGAATAATGCAATTGAAATGCAGCTCGTAAAGTTTAAACTTTGGGTACATGCACCCGGCCAGCTCAAGCTATAGCCTTATTTGCTGCTTTTTACGAGCACGATAACAAAAAGAATTACTCAAAATATTGAAGAAACCCGTCTACATCTCAAAACCATAACATATCAAGAAAAAGGCATTCAGTTCAGAAGTCAGATTGAGACGCATGAAGACAGCATGCTCCGCACTGGCGGATCCAGACTTGCGTTTTGGGGGGGGGCCAACTCCTGCAAGTAACCAAACCTAGGGTACCCCCAAATCCTGTTTTCTCATCGGATTTAGGCCACTTATTTTTTCGTCACAGCCCTGAAACGATATTTTTTTAAACTAAAAATAAAAAAATAGAAATGGTAGCCCACCCAACCCGAGCCTAAATATTACTTTGAAAACACTTCAAATTGCTTTTGTCGACCAATTAGCCCGCTCCGGGTCGGTGCGTGGCGCAGCCTTCGCGGGCTGGGAGGTGTCGGTTGGACCCCCTGCCGTTCGGCCCCTGATTAAGCTAGAGCTCGCGGAAAAAAAACAGGCGTGTTGCCCGTGAGTGACGAGACGAAGCCGATGATACCCGATTTTAACCCGCGCCCTGCTGGGGGGGTGTTTGAACACCCCCCCCCTTGTGGTTTTTCGCGAATATCTCAAAAACGGCGGCGCGGAGCGCCGCCGTTTTTGGTATACCTTATCATACATCAATTCTACACATGTTGTGAAAATTTCAGACCAAGGTCATTCAAGGTCAGGTCACCAGGTCACTTGAAGTGACCTCACCTCATAAAAAGTTTCAATGTCTGTCATAGCTACACCGAGTGACCGATCGCTTTGAAACTTTCAGCGATTGATAAGAGTAACAGTATCTATAAAATGTATATCTCGGAATTTTGATATCGGTGACCTAAGGTCAGGTCAATTTTGCGACCTCCCCATTATAAGACAATGGGAGAAAATTGCAATGCGCCTCTTTTGGACGAAAGACATTATAAACACTCCCAAACACTGAATTACAAGTGGTTTAGTCACACTGAACATGAAAATGGTGTCCGTGACCCTTGTTTATGCCCTGAGGTCATCTTAGGTCACGAATTGTATCTAACAGTTTTTCGCAAATAACTTTTGATAGAGGCATGCTAGAGCGATGAAAACGCCTTAGATGTGTTCAGCTCGACGATACAGATCGACTGATATGCAACATGACCCTTTCCGGTCAGGTCATGACCTTGACCTGAGGTCAAATTTTCAAGTTGACCTTTCAAGGTCAAGTTATAGTTCATTCGATGCGTCTTGGCGAGAGGAACACGATGCCGGTAAAAGTAAGCTCGTACAAGGCTTGGGTCAAAAGTTATTGCCGAAAAACTGTTTCCGAAAAAATCGGCTATTTTTGCAGTTTTTGCCCCCTGCAGGCAAAACCGTTGACGTTAGGTCAAATCTGAGAGAATTATTCAGAAAGGGCGTTAATAGGGCTATCGAATGCGCTTTTCCTCGGCGCTGTAGCTCTATTGGTTCCCGAGTTATGCGTTGG